CCACTGAAGAATCCAATACCCAAATACAAATGTTTCAAAAATAAGAGATTTTATAATAAATTTTCCCAGTAAAATTCTTCTTTATAATCCCAAATTGTCTGTTGTCTATGCATCACCTGCTTAAAGGGAAAGTGTGCTGCCTCCCTCCTGCCCTTCCTTTCACCCAGAGATCCATCTATAATTGAGGCCGGCTTCATTTAAAAAAAAAAAAAAGAAAAAAAGGTTTGGTGGTAAGTGTACATCACTTCAAATTATTGTATTTGGTTTTAATTATATACTGCCAATCTACTACAATTTTAACATGAATGATTTCAAGGCAAATTTGGCTATTAATAAAAATGAAAACAAGAACACTTCATTAATATTTTATTTTTTAAAGATCGATTGTGTAACAATCATTTTAGGCATTTAAATAACCCAGAACATAAAAATCTAGAGAACTTCATTGAAATATACTTCAAAAACTTAAGTGTTTCATAAAAGATGAGTTCAATGCTCGTCTTTTAATAAATTAACCAAATATAACTAAAAATTTCACATATATTCAAGATACTTAGATACTGCTAAACTATCAAGGCAATGCTGGATAGTCCAAAAATGATAACGATAGAAATGATTTTGTGCTAATACATTTTTAATTAAAAACTGTACATGGGTGTAATTAGCTCAACAATGACCAGTTGTCAACATTGATAGTTTTTCAATCTTAAACAAATCCTTGCAAAGGCAGTATCTGAGGACAATGGACATAGACTCACCGATATAACTTGACAGTGGTAATTTGTTAATTTAAAATATCAAATTTTGTCCCAATTTTATGTTATAGATGCATGTGATTAAAAAATTTGTAGTCATAAGACCACAAATTAAACTTCTTGCAACATTCAATGTCATTTTGATGAAAATAAGTTTTTTTTATATTTTATACTAATGAATGATTAAATTTAACTGACTAAACCAACCAAACCAAACTCATTGCCCTTGAGTCGATTCCGACTCATAGCCACCCTATAGAAGAGTAGAACTGCCCCATAGGGTTTCCAGGAAGTGGCTGGTGGATTTGAACTGCTGACCTTTTGGTTAGCAGCCAAACTAGGGAATTAAATTTTAGAGACTTTTGATAAACTATGTTAAGTTTCCCTAAAAATTATACCAGTACCTTGTTCATTTCAGTCATGCTACTGAAATATTATTCTTCACACAAAATTGTTATATGAACTCTGCAAATTAATACTGCCAATATTTTAAGAGGATCTCTTAAATTATACATTTGGGCAAAATATTTTAAAAGAGGAAATATGCTTAGACTGTTCATTCTGCTGCATAAAACCATTCTTCCCTGCAAAACGTCCAGCCCCCCCGCAATAAAACAAATCTCCTTAAAAGCAACCTTTATAACACAATAATCACACTAAAGTTTCTATTCACTACTTGATATGTGACTTGTCCATAGCAACACAGAATTCCAGGAAGGAAAATTAGCTCTCCGTGCCCACTCTACCTTGCTAACAAATTAGGGGGGTACTCTGAAGACTTCAATAGCAGTTTTGCCTGATAGGAAACAAAGGTTCTCAATCCCAAACCAAATTGTGATTACGTGAAAATCCTGGCCCTGTCAAATCAGGCAGATTTAAACTGAAGTGGAAAAGAAAAGGGTCTATAATCGGTATTTTAATCTTCTAAAAGAAAATAATTATGCCTTGCAATAAATCGAAGACCTCGCTTTTAAAAAAGTTCCAGCAGTTACAATGTACTATATCAACTTCCCTTCTGTAACTGAAATGGTTCTCATTAAATAAATTAGTATTAAAAGGAGCTCTGGTGGCACAAAGGTTAAGTGCTCTGCTGCAGTTCGAACCCACCAGCTGTTCCACCAGAGAAAGATGTGGCGGTCTGCTTCCGAGAAGATTACAGCCTTGGAAACCCTATAGGGCAGTTCTACTCTGTCCTGCAAGGTTGCTAAGAGTCGGAATCGATGTGACAGCAACGGGTTCTTAGCATTAAAATAATATTAGTATTATAAATAATAGAATTATTTTTAAAAGTTTATTTTCTTTTTCTGATACTAGGTAAACTACATTTTTGATATCTGCATGAAATTTTCCCAACAAGTTGGTTCTTTTATCTTCAGCAGGGTCTGTGTTACATAGTTTTACTCATTCTTTCAACTATGTGGAAAAATGTGATCCAAAAAACTACAAAAATAAATTTGATCATCTGTTATATTCAATAATGACCTCAACTACTTAATAAACATAAAACAGAACATACTTTTTGGATTTCTGGTAACAAGGCAAAATAAAACTTTTAAATTAAAAAAAGTTATCCAGAGGGAAAAAAGACTTAAATGATTAAGATACGTCTTTTGTGGGTTACAACTCACCCTTATGGGAAAACTGGAGCGAAGATAAAAAGAGGGATCCAGATGTCGTGTGAAAACTTGGCAAACATAGCTTTTTGGTCTCTCTTCTACCACTACCACGTTGGCATCCGGTCAATTCTGACTCATGGTGACACCGCATGTGTCAGAGTAGAACTGTGCTCTGCAGACTTTCCAAGGGCTAATTGTTTGAAAGAAAATCGCTAGGCTAGGCCGTTCTTCTGAGGCGCCTCTGGGTGGACTCAAACCAACCGTCTTTCAGTTACCAGCTGGGTGCATTAACTGTTTGCATGACCCAGGGACTTCTCTTTCTCTACTAGCAATGTCTTTCTTATCTGCTCTAATCCCTTTGAGTTCAAGTTCAGTATTACACATGAAGTAATCTTCTAGTTTTCATCAGATTTTTCTTTTAATATTATTTTCAGGATGCTTTAAACAATTTCACAACTATTATTTCAAATTTATGCTTACAATTCACAGTACAGCTCCCATTCAATAAGGCCACAGTTCTTACTTTTTTTTTTAAATCACAGTCCATTCAAGATTTTTAACAAGAACGCTCTCCAGAAAAAGAAAGTATATATCCAGGGTTTTGCAAGCAATTCAGGAATTTCAGGGCACAATGACATTTGTTAGACAAAAAACTCTTGCAATAAAGGGATAAAATCCAACAATAGACTATAGGGTTATATTTCAAGGGTTTAATATTTAAAAATTCTAGATAAATATATTTAAGGTGTTGAACAAGGTTTTTTTTTTTTACGATTGATTAGGCAAGATTAAAATATTTACAAAGGAGGGGATTTTTGGTTTTAGTCTTTAGCTAATTTTATATGTGGTCACTGTGAGTCAGAACGGGTTTGGTTTACAAGAAAAAAAGTCATACGAAATGTGCAACCAAAGTACATGTGGGGACACCGCCATAGAGACATACGATCATATCCCGTATTAGCCAGTAAATACGTAACACATTACTATCCATACTTGACGAGTTAATATTCACACTTAAGGGTGAGTTTCATTTCTCAGGTTAACTGGTTAATAAAGGAAAATACATAAAAATAGGGTAGTAGTTTCTAGTACTATTGATCTACAATGAACAGATCCTCAGATTCAGGCAGGTCAGTTCTAAGATGTCATCAGTGATTGTGACCAATGTATGAACACAGTTGCCTATAGGTATTAAGCAGTAATTTCTGGCATATATTACAAGCATGTACCTAAATAACCAAATTACTGCAATTCAGAATAATTACTCATTTTTAGAACAAATGCAGTTAATGGCTCTCACCTTAAAAGTCAAAGGCTTTTAAAAATGTTTTAAAACTTCAAATCATTAAAGATTTGTATACTGAACTTATAACTATGCTTGAACATACGTCTAATTTGTAATAATACAAATGGGAAGAAATAAGATGTGACTGGAGCCCGGGTGGTGCAGTAGTCAAGAGCTACAGCAGCCAACCAAAAGGTCGGCAGTTCAAACTCACCAGCCACACCATGGCAACCCTACATGGTGGTTCTACTCTGTCCTACAGGGTCACTGTGAGTTGGAATCAACTCAATGGCAACAGGGTAAGATGTAATTATGGCAATCTAATTTTAACAAAAGTTAAAAATTATGTTTCACACGTGAGAGTTATGTGTTTCTTTATTCAAGGAAGTATTCGGATTCTAATACAGGATAATGGAAACCCAATGTGACAAAGTATTGTAGCCTGTGGTTTGGTGTGGCCTCCTTGCCTCCAGGATGAACATTTTTCCGGGTGACTTTCCAGGATCTGACATCGACGCCGACACAAGCTTTCCACGGGCCATGCACGCGTGCCAGAGACCACCGCCCCATCTTTCTTCAGATGCTGAGCGCCATTTTCTCCCACCCATTTATCCTCCATACTTATAAAATCCCCAATCTAAAATGCAACCTATGTCATAAAATTAACAAAAGTAGGAGTTAGTATCTATTTTCCCCCCAAGAAAAAGTTATTATGTAAGACTCATAACTTACTCTCTCATTTTCTCTAATTTTTGAGGGATTTATATAGTCTATGGAGTTAAGAGTAATAAACAACACAAAATATGTAAAGAACCTAATCACTCGGTGTATACAGTATGTTGGAAATTGCTAAGGTACTCAAAAGGACAATCTTCCTGGGATAGTAATTCTCCATTGGAAATTACAGTTTATAAATAGAAGGTTGTATTTTAAAATATGTGGTAATACAGTACCTGATCTGGTATTAAGTAATTGTGAGATCTTTTCTCACTAGTAAAGTGCTTAGTTAAGAAACATTCTTCAACCATGTGATTTAATTTGTCAAAGGCACAAAATGTTCTTGTCTCTTTCTTTAAAACATAAGTTTTTTTAAATTGTGGCATTACTCATTTAAGTTTTACTTAGTAGGAAAGCTTTTCTTTTCTCCTGGTAATGAAACGAGAAAAAAACTACTTAAAGAATAACATTTAATTTTTATTTTCAAACCTTTGCCACGAACATACGCACAATATGTACTGTGTTTGAGTGTCATGAAGCACTCGTGACAAAAAAACGTATCTTGTAAGCATTAAAGTAAAAGTTACCAAGGAATCAAAATGTCTTCCAAAAAAGGTGAGGGAGGGGGAAATTAATAAATTAAAAATCATAGCTTTCATTTTATAAAAAATAGTTTGAATAATCTTCTTATAAATCTGTAATGCCTACAAAAGCAGGAAATGCATTTAAAGAGTCTTTAATACAGATTCATTCCTTACAATGTGGTTATGGTCAGAAAAATAACAACTAAAATGGCATTTCAGTAGTCTACATTCTCTTCTTAGCAAATTCCACATAAAATTTATCCAAGTTGTGATTCAAAATAAGATTTTAGCCATTGACAAGGTCAGACTGCTTGTAGTTAGTAGCTGAATAGCAAGGTCTGGTCCACTTAATATACTCCACCAGAACATTAAACACAGCTCAGTGACAGGTACTGATAACAATACTTGACTGCAGGGTCACCGCCTCTATGGCTACTGCACAGCAGCTTAAAACGTGCTTTGGTCAGTGAATTCGTAACAAGTAAATCAAATAACAAGGCCAGAAAAGTTGTTGTAGAACCAATTTCCTGACCTTAAGTAAACTTTAAATACACTGACAAGGCAAGGAAAAATATAATCAACTATACAGAGAAGTCTCTATTTTTCGACCATTTGGCAGTTTTATATCAATAATTTCCTTGTTTAAATAATGTTTTATACTCCTGTGCACTGATTATCAGAGCTCTCTGTATTAAAACTAATCTACAGTTACCTTTCTAGAATGTCCAGTACTGTCCGCATCAATTGCTCCTTTTGCACTTCCATGAAGATGTTCCTTCATCCTGTAACCTTTTAAATCTTGGACCGAGAAAGAACCACCAACCAAATCCAATAAAAACACAAATAATGGACTCCACATAGTAACCGTCCAGCGCTGTAACACACGAGCCACCAAATTTTTTGCAAAGCTGTGAAAACAAAATGGTAAGAAATATGTCATTATTTCAAAACAGAAGTATTCAGCAATTAAGATGTTTCCGCTTTGTAATTTAAAGGATTAATGAAAATATATTTTGTTCTAACATTTAAAAGTATAAAACAGTACATTCTCACTTCAAATAGCAAAACATGTTAACATATCCTAATGTCTCCAATGCTACTAATGAGATTGAAAACAATTTTCAGCTGTTGCTATAAACAATACTCATTTTTCAAGATGCAGCTTTTCATATTCGCAAATGTGAAGAAATTCCCAGTGAACCGACTCTTGAAGTGGACTACTATCACTTTGAAATAATCTATCAGCAAAGTACTCACCATCCAGTTTGCACTGTAATTGCTACATGAATAGCCCTTGTCTATCATTACAAAACTTAGCTATTAACCATGCATTTATTCAGCACCTACTGTATACAGTAGCGATTCACAACGTAGGGGGAGAGAGACTGCCCCTACCTTGCTAAGAAGCACCTTCGAGTGATCTGAGTATGTCATAACTAGGGACGGGTTACCCAAGAAGCAAGGTACGCACAGGCGTACTTGTGCTTACTTATTAATTTGTAGTGCACAATTTCACCTGTTTTTCACATCTTTGATGTGAAACCCAGCTGAAATTGTGAAATTGTACACTACAGATTAGTAAGCACATCTTGCTTAATGTAAGCCCGTGTATACCTTGCTTACTGGTTAATCCACCCCTAGTCATAACCATCAGTTTTGATGGGAAGCATACCTCCCAAAAATGCAGATTTCTACACTAGAAAATAAAAGATAAAGTCCTTCTAGAAGCAAAATGGAGCTCTGGTGGCACTGTGGTTAAGTACTTGGCTGCTAACCGAAAGGTTGGGGGTTCAAACCCACCAGCTGCTCTGCAGGAGAAAGATGTGGCAGTGTGCTTCCGTAAAAATTACAGCCTTGGAAAGCCTATGGGGCAGTTCTATGCTGTCCTGTAGGGTCGCTATGAGTCGGAATCGACTCAACAGCAATGAGTTGGGTTTGGCAAAATGAATCTATTCTAATATTAATTTTATTATTAGCTTACTGTTACTTAAATTAGAACGTACTTACCTCAACAGCATCAGGTGTTCGGCAGTTCTGGTTCGATGCGCCTACACACTCCTTCACTGTGAGGGGGTCCACAAGCCAAAGAGCCACCGTCGAAGGCCAGTTTCCTCCCAGGTTGGAGACAGTATTTAAGAGGGTCATGTATGTTCCTCCAATAAGCGGATCACTAACCTTGGCATTGAAAGCCATTATAGAAACATACATGCTGTACAGTGTAACCTACAGCAAAAACATAAAACATCTTCAGTATAATCAGACTTATTTTTTCTCTAAAGCTAAGGTCTGAATTAAGAACAATGACCTCAAAAACCGAAAATTGATTTTCATGATCTCTGAACTCAACAAGCATTTACTGAGCACCTACTATAAACTGGGTTTTAAGTCAAATCACAGCAATACAAAGACAAACAAGACACAGCCCTTCTGTGCCCTTGAAGAATTTATTCAGGCTGAGAAAACAAGAAATAAATAATTAGGATGAAATGTGGTTAAGTACTATAAAAGAAGTATATACATCATGCTACTAGGGCATATCTAGACAAGAAATTAATTCCACCACAAGTAGTCAGGGAAGGTTCAACAGAGAGTAATGGATAAGGTGGCATTGAAGGATGCATGCAGACATAAGAAAAACTCCATATATGTACCTAATTATATATTATATATGTTTAATTAAGAGTTCAGCTGTCAACCAAAAGGTCGGGAGTTCGAATCCACCAGCCACTCCTTGGAAACCTCATGGAGCAGTTCTGTGCTGCCCGTCTAGGGTTGCTGTGTGTCGAAGCAACTCGACAGCAATGGGTTTTTTTTTTTGTTTATATACATGTATATTTATATGTATATGATATGTGTATATATGACGTATGTACGCACTAAAATATTCAGAGGAACACAAATAAACATATAATTATATTTTTTCTTATATATGTAAAAGATAGCATTTCAAAATTCGACTAACTGAAGAGAAAAACCTCCTTAGGAGGCAAAAAGGGATCGAAGCCCCTAACCTTCCCATTAGGAACATGGAAACAAACCATGTTTCCAAAACAGCATTCCTTTGATTACCGTTTCACAGCGTGTTCATAGAAAAAGGAGTTCCCAGGTCAAGTAAGTAACATGTAAAGTCCTTGGGCGCGGGGATTTTTGTGTGATTTCTTTACTGTTGTATTTTAGTATTTAGAATGGTTGCTGGCACATAAGAGGTGCTCACTCAATATTTGCTGAAGGAACGATTAAGATGCTACTTAAAGAGGAGTTAGGTTACGTCACCCATCATTTGTCAGTTTTACTTGGCCTTGTTCCTTTCTTCTCATAAAGTATCTGACTGTTTGAGCTTCACTGGCTACACTTTGAAAAACGCTCTAATGAAATCCAAAATCCAACAAGTGACTTCTGGGTGACTACATCAGTTTCCTTTCATTTACACAGAGTGGAGCACTGACTAAGCTAACGTGTTTATTTAATACCAGTTACGTGCCTGGCGTGAACTCAGTACTTGCAAAACAGAAAAAAAATCTGACACGCTGCCCTCGACAAGTTTATAAACAGACAGACACGGTCCACTCTGGAATTCTCCTAAATGATAATTTAGGAGAAATTTTTGCAGGACATGTAAAAAACATCTGAAATCACCTGGTAGCCAAATTGTTAGGTTTTAACTAAAAACTAAGTGAGATGTTGATAAATACAACTTTTAAAGGGTTTACCCCAGGTTCCACGGAAAAATCCAAAGTGACTCTGAAATACGCATTAGCAATAACTGCATCTGAGTCTCTGCCATTGACCTGAATCACTTGTGAGCCTCTAAAACAAAGCTGCATTCTGCAACAGCAGCTTAGGTGAGGCCAGAGCAAAGTGGGGGTCATTTCTTTCAGGGCCTACAAACGTATTTAACAAGGAGAATAAAAGCACCTTAACAGAAAGTTTCCAAAATAACAAAGGGTAAGTCATAATTTTCAATGGAGAATCTAAGCCAGAGATCTGCGACCTGTAACCCAGCAGCCATCATTATTTCTCAATGCTTCAGAAGGAAATGGTGTTAGGGATCAAAGAGAAAAAAAAGAACCCAAAATCTAGAGATGGGCTGGCGGACGCTTAGCAAGGATAGAATTAATTGGCTTTGGAATTAATTTTGATAATGTAACAAATATTTATTTGATGAAAAAGAAATGAATGAACGAATGAGGAACTCTCTTTCCATGAACAGAATTCATTAAACCAAAAGTTACGGGTTTAAAGTTCACCCTGAACTAATTTTCTAGGTGTCAAATTCATGCTTAAATCTTAAAATTTAATACCATTATTTTAAGGTAACTAGAGAAACACTTCTTCTTTGTTTTATACAGAAGAGTTTACTTCCTGAGAAAACCACAGCAGGCTTACCTGATGTAATGCATAGCTCAGCAGCACTATGATATAGTAATATATAGGGAATCCCCCTTGATGTTCTACTTTCGGAGTCCACCAAACCAGCAGGGCAAATTCTAATCCAAGCAATAATCTATACAAAAACAAACAAAAATAAAATTGAACATTTTTAGTTAAAAACAACAACAACCAGAAAGCTGTGTGTCTACCGTACGACAGAAAGAAGCCTGTATCTAAAACCTGGTAGGAAGTTAGAAAAAGGTACATCTAGATGATGTAGAAGTTACAAATGCTTTCCAAATATATTCTACAATCAGATATTAGTGATATTGATGAATGTTTCTCATTTTAACATTTTTAAATTTAGTAAAGGTTTTGTTTTGTTTTTACCTGTAGGGCATGGCTTTGTAAAATACGTTTAGTGGCTGGGGACCTGCAGTGTATCTGCTGATAATCAGAGGCAGGATTATTTGCAAAGGAACCATTGGAACAGCCAATAGGGCTAAATGTTCTTTGGGTACTCCTTCTTCTACCAACTTCAGTCCTGTCACTGCATCTGCTGCTGAAAAACCAATCTGCAATATAAAAACAAACAAAAAGCCACTTCAATTTGTGACTTAACAAAATATCTTCCTCCAAACATATGTAAGCTCTTCATCAATTTCATTAGTGGCCCATGATAGTTAAATTAAGTACCATATTATTACTACTGGTATGATAGTCAAGTTACAGAAGAAATTTTGCCCTACAGTCCACTACCAATATTTAGTGAAACCAACTGAAAATTCAGCACTCTTAGGGACTGTAGATGGTTATTATGATGCCTAATTTTCTTTCAAAAAAGTTTAACCTGTTATTAAAAACAGTAGCCAAATTCAAACAGACTGGTTTGTATGTTTTAAGTTGAAGAGAAAAGCCTCCAATAAGATCCCCAATAAATCTGGTAAAATAAAGCATCACACATACACATTTTTGATGGTTCCTGATTGACCATAATAAAATTTCCAAAAGTAATCTAAAGTTTCAAGCAATTCTGAGAAAACATTATACCTGAGAGGCTGACTAAAACGAAGGGGAAGAAATAGCATAATTAGATTAATTCTTAGAAACAATGACAAAGAGTAAGGAGACTCAAAGTAGGGGGTAAAAGTTGGACAAGAAATCAGACATTTATATGTTTCAAAGTATCATCCCATAAATTAGTTTTATTTACAAAAGGAAAAAGAGTAACTTTAAAACAGATTAACCAAGTAATCAAGGTTAACAACAGACCAGAGGATAAATGGCCATCACGTGGCTCCTGACGGAACTCCCTGAGGAAGTCACAGTATCACCTCTGTGATATTTCTGCCACACACAGATAACCTGAACCTAAAGATGAAAGACAGCAGACAAACTGAAACTGAAGGCCATTCCACAGTATAAACGGCCTGTATTCTTCAAAAACGTCAAGGCCATGAAGGACAAAAAAAGACACGACAATTTAATGCAATGTGTGATCCTGGATTGCATCCCTGACCAGGAAAAAAGATATAAAACTGTTATTAGGACAACTTATTAAATTTGGATATGGAGTGTGATTAGGTAATAATATTGTATAAATTTTAAATTTCTTGATTTTTACGATTGCATGATGCTTTTGTAAGAGAAAGCGCTCATTCTTAGGAAATACGTATATAAAGTATTTATGGATAGAGGGGCATGATAGGTTCAAATTACTCTCAAATATGTCAAAAGAAATATGTGAGAGAGAGAGAACAAATCTAAAGAAAGTGGAGCTATATGTTAACAAAGAATCTGATAAAGAATATATGGGAGATCTTCCTACTATTCTTGTAACTTTTCAGTAAGTGTGAAATTGTATCAAGTAATAACTTTGTAATAAGATGAATGATAGATACTATACACTTAGACTTCTTGGATGGAGCCAAAGAGCAGATATTACCATAAAAATATTAAAGATCAAAGATATTTCACTTAAATACAGCAAAGAATTTCACTCATTCTCTTTATAAAAAATAGATCTATAAACTACACAAAAATAGTAAAAACATTTATGTTTTTATATTAAGAAATAGTTATACAAAAATAGATATACAAACTGACTTCAACATTTACTCTGTATTAATGGTGGTATAGGAGGAGATATTTGTAATACACACACATCTAAAAACAACTCGTATCCAGACTATATAAAGGACAAAAATGAACAAACTATTGCTATAAACAATATGGATAAATCACACAAACATAACGCTGAGCAAAGGAACCAGACACAAGCGTACATATTGTATATTCCATTTATATAAAGTGTAAAAATGGGGAAAACTAAGCTATCCTGTTAAAAGTTAGGAGAGATGACCTTTAGAGGTTTATTTTAAAAGGCAAACACTGGACTCTCAACTCTGCTTTCAGACACTGCCTTGGACATTGCTGGGACAGTATAAATTAGTATAACGGTCTTGAAAAGCAACTAGGCAATCATATTCACTGATCTACTAGTTGCCCATTTAAGAATCTATTGGAAGGAAACATTCTGAACATCAAAGAAAGACTTTGCAGAAAAATGTGCATTAGTGCATTTTATAATTAAACACCACAAGCAAATTAAATACCCAACAGAAAAATGATAGAGTGAATTATGACAAATTTACACACTGTGAATATTAGACAGCTATTAAAAAGTAGAAGGGGCCCCAGTGGCACAGTAGTTAAGCACTCAGCTGCTAGCTAAAAGGTTGGTGGTTCGAACCCACCAGCTACTCCATGGTAGAGAGATGTGGCAATCTGCTTCCATAAAGATTACAGCCTTGGAAACCCTGTGGGGCAGATCTACTCTGTCCAATAGGGTCGATATTAGTCAAAATCAACTTAACGGCAAGAGGTTTGGCTTTTGGTTTTGGTTATTAAAAAGTATGCTTTCAAATATTATTTAATGATACAGGACTATGTTTGGGAGATGACAAAAACAAGATAAAATGTATATATAGTGTGATTTAATTCCATGTTTAAAGTATGTGTATGCGTGTATAAAAATATATACACATACGTTGTTTTAGGTGCCATCAAGTTATATACACACATATATAAAGTATATGCATATATACACATATACATGCACACACACAAACATAGAAAAAATAGAGGCTGGAAGGAATATACCAAAAATGTGAACAACGGTTATCTCTAAGTGATGTAATTAGATAATAGACACTCTTCCTTGAACTTTTCACATTTCCTAAAGGTTCCCTCTCCTGTCATTTTTTGTTGTTGTTGTTAGCTGCTACTGAATCGGCTCCAACTCAAGGCGACCTTACCTATAACAAAACACTGCCCTGTCCTGTACCATCTTCATGATCATTGGTATCCCCTGTCATTAGAAAGGAGGAAAAACTCACTGTTTAAAATAGTAAGACTGTATTTTTCCTCCAAGGTTGTCAAAAGATAGAGGTAAAGTGTTAATGTAGACGGTTTTAAATATGTAATTTGAAAATTCTGTAATTAAGTCTAGATTTTATGAATATTAATTCCAACACTATCAAGCTCACTGTAATAACATATACTTGCCTTTCTTCTAGCATAGTATCTTACAAATGTTTTAGAACTATAAAATTAGGAGCTTACTACAGAAATCATAAAGAATAAAACACAAATCAACAGTAATCCTTGTTTATGGTATACTACCTTCTAACGTTTTAAATAATAATTCAGCGGATTTTTAAAGACTTCTTAAAGCGCTTGGCTGCTAACCGAAAGGTCAGTAGTTCGAACCCACCAGCGGCTTCCATGGGAGAAAGATGTGGCAGTCTGCTTCCATAAAGGTTACAGCCTTGGAAACCCTATGGGGCAGCTCTACTCTGTCCTATAGGGTCGCTATGAGTCGGAATCAACTCGACGGCAACGGGTTTAATAATCATATACTTCCATACCTTTGTAAATTACATCCTAAGTAAATAATCTGACTACCCTTAACATTAAACGTACACTCATTATAATAGCTGTCACTGTTGTTGTTAGGTGCCATCCAGTCGATTTCTAACTCATAGTGACCCCACGTGACAGAGTAGAACTGCCCCATAGGGTTTTCTAGGCTGTAATCTTTACAGAAGCAGATCGCCAGGTCTTTCTCCCGTGGAGCCACTGGGTGGTTTCGAACCACTAACCTTTCGGCTGTGCTTAACTGTTTTGCCACCAGTGTCCTCATTATAGTAAACCAAACCAAATCCATTGCTGTCAAGTTGATTCCAACTTATAGCAACCCTATGGGACAGAGTAGAACTGCCCCACAGGATTTCCAAGGCTGTAATCTTTACAGGAGCAGACTGCCACATCTTTCTCCCGTGGAGTGGCTGGTGGGTTTGAACAACCCACTTTTCAGTCAGCAGTTGAGCACTTAACCATTGTGCCACCAGGACTCCTTCCTCATTATAATAGTAGAGAGCTATTATTTTCTGAAGGCATTCATTTATATTTTAAGCATTAATATTATTAAATAAATATGGTTTCATACTTTCATGATGACAAAATTGTTTTCATGATCCCAAGACATTTAGCTTACTTTGGAATTACATTTAATATCCTCACACTTTTTAAAACGCATTGAATGAATAGAAACTATTGCTTTTTCATTGTTAAATTCTAATGGTGGTAGAAAGGGACTTATGATATGAACAATGAAAGCACTCCATGTTATTCGTAATTATAACAGAAATGGTAACTTTGCTTTATAAATCTCTTACCTTTGCAGTTAGAATCAGAAGGCAGTACGTAAGAACTGCTGGCATTTTTACAATCGAAAAAAGCAACTTGTAAGTGTCCGTAATCCCTTGTGTTTCTTCTTTTACTAGTGATACTTCTTTGTTTTCTCTTTTCAGAAGGGCAACTAAAGTTGTTGTTATTAAAAATATAGTTCCCCAGAAAAAAAGGAAATCTGAAATTAAAAATGTTTTTAATTTTAATTAACTTTTGTAATGACATACCTTCATTGACAGTAAATAATTCTATATTCAACTTTTCCTCAACTAAAGTCTGTTAAAAAATCAACATTTATGTGCCTATCATGTTCAAGGTACTGTACCAAGCAGTCATGGCTCTGGAAAACATACTTTACTTACCAGACTTTTTCTGCAAATAATGCACCCACACATATAATGCATGGCATAGCTCAATTACAAGAATAGCGAGGGGGGGATTGCGTGGTTGGCAAAAATTTATTTGTGTAAAATATGGTAGATCCAGAATAGACAGTTTTATTCAACAAGAAGAAAAAAAGGGGGGGGGGCACAGACATTTAGTGTACAACTGGGATGAGTAAAACAAAAATCTGTCATGTCACTTTATTCTAGGAAAGTGCTAGGGATGGGAGATGATTTTCATATCCCATAAAATCCATGTCGTATTTTTTAAGTACCTAGCCATTTCAGTCCTTTGTTAAATTATGACAACTTGGACAACATACAGATGGCTATTTACATTGGATTTTCCAACTTTTATTTTTAAACTTTCTAATGTTTTCAAGGAGTCCCTGGGTGGTGGGAACAGTTAACGTGCTTGGTCGCTAACTGACAGTTGGAGGTTTGAGTCACACCCAGAGGCACCTCAGAAGAAAGGCCTGATGCTCTACTTCTGAAAAATCAGCCACTGAAAACCCTGTGGAGCACGGTTCTACTCTGACACACATGGGGTTGCCATGAGTCGGAGTTGACTCCACAGCAACTGGTTTTTAATGTTTCCAATCTGTTTACAAATAACCTTCTCTTTTCAATACTGTGATAAAAACCAAAACCAAACCCGTAGCTGTCGAGTTGATTCTGACTCATAGTGACCCTACAGGACAGAGTAGAACTGCCCCATAGGGTTTCCAGGGAGCGGCTGATGGATTCAAACTGCTGACCTTTTAGTTAGCAGCCAAGCTCTTAAATCACTGCACCACCAGGGCTCCAATACTGTGGTGCCGAAGCAATTTCCTCATACTTTTAGGTTCAGAACAAAACACAGGACAGGACTGTTTGGGCTGTTTCAGTGAGAGCCGGCTGGGCTATTATTAGCCATTACCTTGAACCATTTAAGCGGAGGGAGTGAATAATGGTCTGTAAGATTCTGCTTAACGGCTAAAAATAATGGTAATAACGGGTATTAAATGTATACCATGTGCCACAAATATGCTAAGCATTTTACGTGCATCATCTCCTTCACTACATCCACGCAATGTATTAGGTTATTACTAGACCCAACTGACAGATGCAGAAACTGAGGGTTAGAAAGGTTGTTTTCTGAAGTTACATTATAAATCAGGGGTAAAATTGCTGCAGTCTTCACAGGAGCAGACTTATACAATTAATGTCAAAACTTAACTACTCTGAGAACTACATGTCAGCTTGTCACTACAAAAGTTACTGGATAACCCTCTCAGTTTCTTCATCTGTAAAATGAGAAGACTTGGCTAGAAAATCCCAAAGATGCTTTCCATCTCTAATGTTCTAAAATCGCACTCAGCGTTATCCGTGGTTACTTTTGTTGTACCCTACAGGGCAGTTGTACTCTGCCCCATAGGGTGGCTGTGAGTCGGAATCCATCTGGCAGCACACAACAACTACTTGTATTTTATTGCTCTTGTAGAGCAGGTAACTATTCATGGAGCCTTAGTTGTAGAAGGAATAACCTCTTTTCAAAAACAATTAGAGCCTTCCTGAATCACGGTTTTCCCTCTGGATTTGGTCTTGCTCCTACTACCGTGCCTCCTGAAGGTGACTGCTACAGCTCGAACCTCATTTATGATGGAGGCACACAGCATTATTTGTTTATACCAGTTTCACTTGTGTAGATACCAAGTTCACCTTAGTGTTTATATGCTCATTCCTTGTATGTTCTCATTAGACTCTGATAACAAACACGTAAGACAGGCAAAGCGGGCACTGTCACTATGGAGAGATGAGGAGAAGACGCTCAGTGTATTTAAATTTGGGCCAACAGTCCAATTATTAAGAAGCAAAGCCAGAACTTGAACCTAAATCTCCTGAACTTGAGTCTCATACTCTTTGCTTTATTTCACACTGCCTACATAAACATTAAAAAAACTAGTTGAGATAAGAATCTATTAGAATTGGTGTAATTACTTAGTCCTTGTTTAGAATAATTTCCCCAAAAGCAAGGTTCTGCTACTGAAATCATGCAAATTAAAGAAGCTAAGATGCTTTAAACATATATGGAAAATGTTATTCTGGGATACACTCTTTTCTTCACCATGGGCAATGTATAATTAATTTTAGATAACAGAAGGGAAACCATGAAACATTCTTAAATGCAAAAGTATCCACTTAAAAATGCATGAACACATTTCAAAGCATTTAAGTAAAAAGCCTTATGATTAAGCTTCATCAAAATAACAATTTCTAACTTATGTTAATAGAGTACATAGTTCAAAAGAAATGAACAGTTTAAGACTATTCTTATAAGCGGGGTTAATATCAATTCATTCTGCATTCTTTTCATCTATAAAATGCAATGAATAATGACTTCGTTAAGAACTTCATCTACAATAGTACTCTTCTTGAGTTTTTGATCGTCACTTCGTTTAAATCAGCTGTTTAGGAAGGCCTGAAAGAAATTATATTCCTTTCACTGTCGTCTGAATTTCTAATTAATGGTCTCTATATAAATGTTAACTGAAAATTAAAATTCTTTCACTTATATACTACTCAGAGTTCAATTTCTCTAAGCAAAAAAAATTTTAATTTGCTTCGTACATTCTTCCAACTACAATGAACAATATTTTCATCTAGAATTTACATTCCTACCAATAGCAAGAGAAAGAATATAAACAAGTTAAACAAGTTTTAGCATGCTTCTAATTACTGTTTGCAGATAATTTCTAATTTCTTTGTGCTTTGAGAATAAAATAACAGCACATTTGAAAGAAGGAAGTAGTGACAGTGGATCATTCACAGAGCCCTAATTCAAAGGCTTTGTAGAAGCTAATACCTCAGGAAGAAAGGCTTAGTCACCGCCAGGAACTATATTAAGAAGTTTCACAAGTGCAATCACCATAAATATTGACCTTGAACAGACTATTGCTATCGCTTATCGTTTCAATGCTAGAGAACATTCATAGTCAGATATAGGAACCACTGTAAAGATAGTGGAGCCCTGGTGGCTAAATGGTTAAGCGTTTGACTGCTAACCAAAACGTCAGCAGTTTGAATCCACAGCCACTCCTTGGAAACCCTACGGGGTCGTTGTACTCTGTCTTATAGGGTCACTATGAGTCAGAATCGACTCGATGACAACGGAACGGGCAAAGACACATTATTACCAAAATTAATTTCATTATCAACATTTTGGTTAATTTTATCTGCGAAAGCATTACGATGTATAAACGGATGATCAAGATCTCAAAGCTGGTATTCAAGTTTCATAAACCCGATTTTTGAGCAAAGACCTAAAAGACTAAAAAACCAGAAACCAAACTCACTGCCCTCGAGTTGATTCTGGCTCATAGCGACCCCATAGGGTCTGTAAATCTCTACGGAAGCAGACTGCCACATCTTTCTCCCATGGAGCAGCTGGTGGTTTCGAACTGCCAACCTTTTGGTTAGCAGTCGATGGCTTTAACCACTGTGCCACCAGGGCGGCTTTAAAGACAGACTAAAGACTAAATATTTTGAAGTGGCTACTAGATCTTATCTAGCACTTTCACGAAAGCAAAAATTAAGAGCATGTAACAATTCACTGGTAACCAAAACAGCTACAAAAAGCTAGCAGGCTGAGTGCCTATTGCTGAGCCCAGGACAAAACACAGAACATCTCATTTAAATCTCAAAATCCCCTCCAAGACAGGCATTACTATTCCTGCTTGACACATAACGAACAGGATCACAAGACAGAAAACATCAGGGGTGAGATTTAAACTCAATTCTGATTCTAAAGCAAAAATGTCTTCCATCATACTATCCAGATGTTCAACTACTAGCCAAAAGGTTGGTGGTTCAAACCCTCCTGGAAGCGCCTTGGAAGACAGGCCTGGCAATTGGTTTTCAAGGCCTTGAAAACCCTATGGAGCAGTTCTACTCTGTACATGAGGTTGTCATGAGCTGGAATCAACTTGATGGGAGCTAACACCACCACCACCACCCAGATGCTCAGATATACCCACAGCAAGTCAGCTCTCTCTCCTAACATCAATCAGACACTCCTAAGAAAACAAAGGAGTATATTTTAGCCCCAACCAGGAGGCCTGGAACATAGAAACGACCATACTGCTTTAACTGGCTACTTGTATCCCCTTCCTCCATCTCTCCATGTGGTGGTATGCCAAAGGGTATTCATGCATAGGATAAATAAACACGGTGTATCTCCCTAAAGGACACCCTGGTGGCGTAGTGGTTAAGAGTCCAGCTGCTAACCAAAAGGTTGGCAGTTTGAATCCACCAGATGCTCCTTGGAAACCCTATGGGGCAGTCTTATAGGGTCGTTACAAGTCGGATTCAACTTGACAGCAACCGGTTTTTTTTTTTTTTGGTGTCTCCCTAAAGAGTTAATCTTACTCAATAATTTATAAGGAAGCATGTTAATGAGAATAAACACATTATGGAGAAGAATGCAAAATTTCCAAGAACTTTTAAGATAAAATATGAGTCTTTAAAAAAAATGTCAAGCTTTCAAGGCTTCGGACTAGGCCCCCAGACCCACTGTGGTGGTTCACCCTCTTCCACCATCAGAAGAGGTAGAACAATTGAGAAGCACTGTCTGACATAGCCATCCTTGGCTCAGGTCAGGTTCTCCTTCTAATCTCTTGCTCACAGTATGGAAAATAACCTCAGCCTTTTATAAGTCAATGGTAGGAAAACAAACAGTTCCAGCTTCTGCTCTAAATAACTGTCAAGCTTTCCTTTCACCTCCTTGCTTTTGCCACAGCTCTCCACTTCACCAAAA